TATTATTAAGCATGTCGAGAAATTCACAAGAGACCATGCTTTCTTGGCGTTCATAATAAGTAATGAAGAAATCTTCAATTAGCGGAAACTGTCGGTGAACTTCTTACTAACAAATGTCGTTCCAGAATAGGATTATTTACTCAGAAACGGTATTGAATAAATATTGAACGAAGAATATTATTTATAGGTGAGATAGTTTTTTAAATTGATATCGTTTTATGAATTTGGGCTCTACGTGGCGTTTTAAATGACACGGTTTTTTAAGTACAGGTACAGTACAGGTAAGAAATAGCTCTAAACAAGGAAGTCAGCGCACAGCATGGAACAAAGTAGGCAGAATTACCTAGCCATTACATTCCTATCGGTTAGGAACGTTTCGTTGATCGAATCAAAGAGCGTGTGCGTAGTTTGATGTTATTTTGACATCAAATAAAATTTGTGTTATGTCATATAGACCAATGTAAAGAGAGAAAAAAAACACTGCGTACAGGTAAACCTTTTTTCAAGGAACTGTGAATAAATATAATTCCTGGAAGCAAATATTGAATAAGACTCGTCCTTCTCGAATGGCTTTGTGTTGAATCTGCGTTCTACATTTAATTCACTTGTGCGTGGCATGAAGTAAGTTAAGCGTACCTCTTGCTTTGTTTTGCACGTAAATTATGGAACTATTTTTAAACTACACGGTTTACTGGTTTACACGTGTGTTTTTGTAGGGATTCTTTCTTCGCCGTCGTAACAGTTTGCAGGAAGGTAGGTATATCTACATACTATTAATTTATTGTTATATTGTGTGGAACATTGAATATGTAAGGGAATTTTGCCTACTTAGTACTACAGTTCCTTTATGATCTAATAATGTCTGGAAAGAAATGGGGAAAATGGTAAAAAACATAGAATACCTCATAGAAAACTATGCAAAATGTTTGATTTTTTTAAATAATCCCTAGCAACGTCAACCCTAACCCTATTCACAGGTGCAAAACAAGTTCACCTCCATACATTATCAAAAGACAGATGGTTACTTGTTTGTATTATTGATTAAATCTTTTCACTCAAATTACAACCTGTTCAGAATTCACACAAGTTAAATGTTGGGGATTTTTCAGAGCTTCTAATATAATTTGAAACATGAATAACTCGAGTTACAGGACGAAATGAAAAATATCCGGAATGGATGTTGATATTCAAACAATGATGTGTCACTTAAGAAGCTTTTGAAATACAGAAATGTTTGATAGTGAAGTTTCTCTAGACAAGGTGCGTTATTTTCGGAGAAGGCAGGAACGTTGAATAAGTAAAGACATTGCCAGGTCCTTTAATTTTCCTTTTCGGATAAATAAAAAATATGTTGTCTAAACAATATATGTTGTGTAACAGTGTAACACGAAATTAACTGATCACGTCGATCTATAGTTCACTTGAACATGCAGTCAAAGACACTACATACCTTTCTCATTATACAACGGTCTGCTTTATCTCGATCTTTATACTTACAACATCAATATCATGGACGGCTTATGGACTTGATGCATTCATTAGGCTATGTAGTAAGCGTTATAATTAAGATTTTCAGATCGTTAGCTTAACCTTTTCTTTGTAATAACATCCCTGAACAGAAAGACAACACACCTGGATATTTAAGGAATACATTTATCGTTCCTTATATTTACATTTTAAGTGCTTTGAATTTTCCGATGCAAGCATAAATAGAAAAATACAGGTTTTTTTTTAAATTTTTGATTCTTTGGGGCAACGTTATTGAGAGAAACAGCATGTTTTCGCGGGAATATGTAAAACTTCCGCTGGGGGTCCTAGCAACAGCATGACAACAAAACAAACAAAATATAGTTCCATTTTCAAAATTGATTTTGTATAGCTTATACAAGTCGTTCATATTTTTATATACCTTTTCACACCTTATTTTAGCTTTGAAATCAAGCCAATCATGTTTAATGTTAGTTCATATAAGCAAAACAAATCCTCATCGATGACTGTTTCACGGCGGACGTGAACCAACTACGCCCTGTGCTACGTCATTGAAGTGTATCAATACGCAGTGATAAGGTCACTTGTGTTTTGCGAAATTGCAGGCACCAAACTGGGACTTAAGTGTTCTCGGAACGCATGATAGCACAAGGTCTTTGAGGCACATTCGAGAATTTCTGCGAAGAGCCTCGAATACATACAAATAAAAACATGATAATGGCATGTTATTCTACTGGTAGCAAGTGAAAGGACTTCAGCGCGAAGCTGTATTTTGTTCTGGTTTATATCTCAATTATAAACTAGGTACATGTATTTAGGATATTTGTTTTAGAATCAAATTTCTTTTACTATCAATTCGCAAATATAACTCCACTCAACATTATTGAAGGACTCAAATATGGGTTTTCCCTAAAATTTTACACGTTACAATAATACTGATTCCACTGAATTAGCAATACAAAACCGTAAAATCTAGCTTATTTAATTCTTAATGCGGAATCTCATGATCAGGCTTACTTTTCGAAGGCAACCTTTCTTCAATGTCGTCAAATTTTCGAAGCTATTGAGACTGTGATGCGCGTACGACCTATTTTTAAGGTATTTTTACTTTCAACGAAATCTTTGATTTGCAAGGTCCTCCAAGGTCTTGGAAAGAATACCCGTAGTGGTGGTAAAATATCAGGCTAGTTTGCAGCTGTAGGCATTTATTAAAAAAGCACAACATTATTGACTCAAATACGGGGTGCTGGACCAGCCGACGGATTGGTCGGTGACGCGAATTATGACCTCTTTAACAAATACGATATCCGAAGTCATTGTGGAACCCTTTTCACTTCGATCATAATTATGGTCACATTAGCTGTCTTGATTATACAGTTTTCGTCTCTATGAATGCACCAGTGATTACTACACATTAACTTGAAAGGTTTGTGTGTGCCGATATGTGCAAAAAAACAACAACAACCGATATGCCAGCTATTTAAAACATTTTCTTCTTCTTTTAAATCACTATCAACACACAAAACGAATTACTGGGTGGGATGTTATTCGAAATAGTATATATTAGTTTCTTTTTCGTTGTCAATTTTCCGGGCATTCTGATACCTTTATTTAGAGAAAAATTTGCTTTGATTTTATCTTCAAATACAAAAATATTAATGGTTTCATATAAGTAAATACTTGGTATACATATATTATCATGTTTGCTTAACAACTTGTACAATATGTACCCTTGTATAACAGCTATGTATAAATACATTGGCAGCTTAATTTTGAGAAAAATTATTGCATATTGAAGGCATATTTTAAATGCCAGCCTGTCATCGAAGCCGACTACAACTTCGAGATATATTTGACTGCACGGAATCCCCTCCTTATTTTTAAATCAGACTTACTATCGAGATTTTCGGGCACATCATTGGTGGTGTTATTCAACCGAACCCTGTTAATGAAATATATATTTGGACGGGATATACTTGTCGCTGAGAAGAGTTACATAGTAACTGTTATTATTATTATGCCCCCCAAAATGATGTTGTAGTCAACTTAAATTTCAACTCCCTGGTAAGTCACATTCATATACATGTTTACTCTTTGGATACTCAGAACATGTTCATAACCTATGAAAAAAGTACATAACCAGGTTAACGTAGTCAATAAAAAACAAAAATCCTTGTTAAACGTCCAAGTGACCTATTTTGCTGGTTTAACTGTATAAACTGTATAAAACCATAGATCTATGACAATAAGAACCACTTTAACTTCGTATAAAGTGTCCTTTCGTAACGTTTAATGTCATTATATAAAGCTAGACATGCTATAAACATTATCGAACTTTTCAATTTCAGTGTTTATAACATGTCTAGCGCAGAATGATATCAAATTGCACATCATCTAAAGTTCATTTATCAGTCAAGGCTACTTAACCTTTGTTTTCTTATTTTTAATCTGCTAATATATATATTAACAGGGGATTTTACAATGATTTTAGTGGTTTCGAATGACAACGTTAACATGGCTTAGTATTTTTTTAAAGCAAATGTACAAGTTCAATATATTCAAATTACATATTTTCCGATATTTAATGGAAGGTCTTTGAATAGGATTTTAGGTGAGCACATCATCTATTAGGGGACTTGTTGAACCTTAAACATGACATCAGTATTGTACCAAGTTGTTGATATTCGCCAGTCATGTAAATCCTCCTCTCAACTTGCTCAGGTTGAAAGGCCACGTTCAGGTAGCGGGCACAAAATATCTTCTTTGATTTTTCAATCTTTTTTTACGATACAGTTACAAAATATGAGGCATATTCATGTATATTATCCTTCCCAAATGTTAAACACGAAAAATGGACCTCTCCCAGTCTCAGAAATGAAACAAACGCGCAGCTCTTTGTAAAATTTCTCTACCTTTTTGCACATAATTAAACCTAATTTAAATAATGGGACTTTATAGATTACCTGGCATAATAATAGGCGTAAGGAAGCCAAGGTAAAAATGAAAACATACTTCCAATAAATTAAAGCTGGTAGAATGGATATAATTAACATATATTTGTGTCTATGTATTTCATGTGGTTTGATGAATGGGACCTGTTTTTTTATTTGAGGATTAGAGCGTGGATTCTGAACCGATGCCTCTTTCTCTGCTTATAGAAAAATAATAACAAACGGTGGTGGGATTATGTATTTCTATTGGCAAACACAGTTTTGAGATGACATTTTTACTAAATCATTGTAAAAGCAAACCAGGGCATGTTAATCTTTGTATCATAAAACTACAGTGGCATGTTCTCGTTGTAGTTATACAAATGTATGATACACACGTCCTAAATCGAAATTAAACACGTAATTTTTAATGGCAATTTTATTTTTTTATTTCTTTCATTAGATTTTGTTGATAAACTGATACTCCAAAACGTACGATTAATACGTGCAACGATTTATGATGATTTAGTTTCATTCGTTCCATTTCCTAACTTATTTTTGTATTTCACCACTAAAATATAGATGGGTAGCTGCCTGTCGTCCAGAAGTGCTCAAGTAGATACAACTGGTCAAAATCGACCATTAACATCGGATCCGGAACCAGAACCTGTCAGTGAGGAAGAGGAAGAAAACGGCTCTGATTTCCTGATGGAATCAGAAAGCGCTGATAATGATGAGGTAAAATTATAAATTTAATGTTAAAAGCAAGTTACGATAAAAATGCATAGGTACGTGCATGGGCTATGTAATATATGACTGACATTATCCGTAACAGTACAGTAGCAAGCTTTGTATTGGAATGCCGCACATCGAAATGTTTAGATTATATACCGATGGTTTTCCAATTGTAGTTAATATTATAAATCATTGTTTTATTTCCATTGCCTACAATGCTTGGGAAAATGAGTCAACAGCACATCATGATTATGAACTGTTTATTTTATCAAATTAAATATATGATTTTAGAAATACACGAAGTTTATCGAGTGTTTTTTACAATTTGAAAATTAACTAACGAGAGTTAAACATGATAACCAACCATTATGAGTTTGGGGATATGTTTCTTCCACAACGTTAAGATATTATATCTCGAAATAATTGTCATGATTAATGCCTCTCTATGGAGGATGACGTCGAAAAGCATTGTTCCTTGACGTCATAATTAGAAGATTGACCGATGAAATAACGTTCACAAGTGGGTAACCAAAATGCTTATCATCTCTTCGTAGGTTTATCCAAAGAGTTTAAAGTGAGGAAACCTATAGTGGTTGTAAGAGAAAGGCTTATCGTCCATGTTTAAATCACATATCCGAAAAAACACCTTACTGAAATAGATATTTATTTCAAATCTGTTAGGATATTATCTTAATTGAATTGAAGGTCAAGGTTGATAAAATATTATCCTCCTATCCAAACGCTGCTCCAATCGATGATAAATCCAAACTGAAAAGGGGGACGGAGATTAAATGGACAGCTCAGATAGATGACGACGTTGGTGACGTTGTTGCCACCGAGTCAGATATGCCAGCAATACGTACACAAAAGGACGTCGACAGACATGCGCGGCAGGTTTGTACATGAACATCTTACTTTAATTGGAAATAGAAACGTTGATTTCATTTGTTTTCTTTTTAATACAACAAGAATCACTCAAAGCTATAATTATGTACCCAACGCATCCAAAAGTAATGAATTGAGCAAGGCTACATAGATAAATGCGGGACACATAAACAGTTAATTCTCCCACGTCAACAAAACATAATCTTGTTATACTCAACAAAAGAAGATATAAGATATAATAACTGAAAGGACATCGATTTGTGGACAACTCGTACACAGTTTATACCTTTGTGTGCATACGCTTCACTGGTCATTTATCTGATGAAGGTGACAGAATACATACCGTACTAGTCATCGACACATCACATAGAAAAAATATTGTGGTTGTGTTACAAGGAACATTTCATAACTGAGGCATATACAATGAAATATCTGACTTTTTTAAAATATTTACTGGATATTATTTTGGCTGTTGTTCAGTACACAAACTGACCAAATGAGGTTTCCTAATTATTTTGAGCGAGATATTTTAACAGGCTACCGACTGCCCTCGCTAATTAAGCCGTTATTGTACATCTCGAGGTAAATAATCGATAAGAACGGTTTTACCCCATGAACATATTTATTAATGATAGTGTCAGCAGGCATTACAATGATAAAACAACGTCATGTATCAATAATCTAGGGAGTATGATGTTTAAGCCTTAATGGTATAAAATGTTGTGAACAAAATATTGTGCGTTACAATGTTTGACAAACATGAAACGATCAGACATTGCCTCTTATATCAATATTAGTAGGTGTATCTTCATACAGCCCAAAACTATCGTAATTTAACAAGCTGTTTCTTTTTTAACTTTAATTTTAAAAGGACACATATGTACAATAATCAATCAGCATAAATAACAATATGCTTGCCTTAGTACTTTAAGCGCCCAACGATAAGCATAGCGTTAAAACGTTCTTTTCTGTGTTGAGTTCAGTGGCAAGGTCATTTTCTTCATTTAATAGGCGCCTGCTGAATTAAATAGCAGCTTCAATGACCTTATAAACTACCTTACTGGTGACCTTGACCAGTCAGAGCGACCTGAGGTGTTCAGGGCTAGAGCACTGATGGTATGGCTTAGTGTCCAGGATGTTGACTCCGACCATGTGAAACGTAAAGACGGGAACACTGAAACACCTGAGGGATACCTTACACTTTTAGCACAGAGTAGAACTACATATTCCACATTTTTCTTGGTGCTTTGCAGGTATATTTTAAATAATGGTATTTACATAATGTAGCATTGCATTTGTTGTCTTTCTAAATTAGTGGCTTAAATGAAAAAGAAATGTAGTATTTTTTTTATAAATGTCATAAGCATGTTTGTATTTAAGTATTAATGAGAACTTATAAATATGATGGTAAAAAATCAAAAATTTGCTATACAATTTTGAAATTTACAAAAACACTAATATTCGGTGTTTATCTTGCATCGAGTGGAATTACGTGTTAACCATTTGCACTCTATCAAGCGTTATGGTTTCCATGGTAAAATCAACGGAATAAGGCAGTGCCGTAGTCTATCGATTTGTAACGCTCTTGTGACGTCAGCGGGTTTATTATGTAATTGAATGATAAACAAATATTCCTATCATTATTCAACAGCATTTCTGTTGAAAAAAAAATAAAAAAAAATATGTCAACGTCTTGAACAATTCCTTTTTTCTATGAGATACGTTAAGCACTTAATTAGCATCTGTATAAATGTTCAATTGGCTGTTGGGTTCATTTGATATTCTCAATCGTTAATTTGTTTTTGCTATTCTCAGAAAGGCAAACATACAATGCACGCAAATCGAAGGAATATGTAAAGCGGGAAATTACCAACCGGGAGATAGGAATCTAGGAAATGTCAACTGTGTATGGAATGCTATTTATGTGGAGGAAGCATGGCATATTGTTCATCCATTCTGGATATGTAGATGCATTGTGGGTAAAACCGTTGGCGGTTGGATCAAACTTGAAGCAGATGGTAAAGCCATCGGTCGAAAGGAGAAAGAATTAATTGGAGTGATGAAAAATGCATTTGAAGAATATTACTTCATGACCAATCCTGCTGAATTAGTTTATATGTGTCACCCTTCTGAAGAAAGATGGCAGCTTTTGGAGAAAACTATAACACAGCAGCAGTTTTTGGATCAGGCTTACGTTCTCCCACCATTTTTTGGATTAGGCATGGTCATGAAATCAAGAGACGCATGTGTTTATGAAGCCAAGAATGGAGAAGTAAAAATCGATATAGAGGCTCCAGCGAAAAATGCAAATGCCATCAATATGTGGTACGAATTTTTGTTGAAGGAAGGGAGTAACGAAAAAAGCCTAGAGGAGCAATTCCTGCTTTCGATGGAATCAATGCCTAGGCTGGTTGCAATGCTCAGATGCGGCGAAAGATGGAAGATCCGAGTCCGTTTCCCAATAGAAGGAACGTACAAATTACGATTATATGGTGCACCTAATAAGACACCGCTCCTTCTCCTTGGGGAGTTTAGACTCGATTGTACATCACGCCGAAAAGAATGCATACCTCTGCCAATAGACCCAAAGGTAGTAGGATTTGGACCCGGACCAGCTGCTGATGTGTCTGGTCTACTATTTCCGTCGCATAGAAATGGAATATATCCGCTTTCCAAGAACAAGGAAATGAGATTCACGTTCCACCTCGAAGAAGAGGCTTCAAAATCTGTACAAGTGACAACCGATCTCATCACGTCAAAATATGTCAAAGGCAAAGGGCAGTTTGAACAACATTCTTTAAAATCATCAGTCAAAACCGTTGTAAACAGGAGAAAGAGGGAGCTATCAATCACATTTGCAATCGCTGAAAACGGGGAGTATGCTCTTACAATTTCTACGACAAAAACGGTATCATCAGCTTCATACAGGAACGTCTGCAACTATCTCGTGTCATCTGATACAACTGCAGACAAAGAGGTATGTTCTTCTTTTTACAACTCGTGCAATGAATTATCTGTTATTTCACTTAAATTATTATTAAGTGACCTTTGATACAACGCTTAATAATGCGTTGATAAACAATAATAAATACATTCCGGTCAATATGAGAATTTTGCAGAAGTTTCCTTATCAGGGCGTTAACAACTGTCTCTATGCAATCTGAATAATACTTCAATATGTTTACGTTGTATTCTGTTTCGGGATAAGACCACACTTCGAGCGGGTCATTGATCTTGATACCGAGGTATACGTATGCGCTTATGGGAGGCGTAGAGGTTGACCGTTGAATACCATATGTATTTCTCAAGAAGGCAAATTCGTGCAATACTCGTATATTATCTACCATACAAGTGTAAAATATATAGTATTCCAAGTAAAACCATTACATGTTCTATTTCTATTTATTACATTTTAAAACTACATGTAACGACGCAAATTTTACCAAGTCAAAACAATTTGGGATGTGTTAGTATAATCGATGATCTAATATTCTAACGACGTCACAACCTAATCTCATCGAATCAATCTTTGTCAGTGATATATGAACGTTATCAGCATTGGATATCCTCTCCTTCATTATCAATGTTCCATGTTCGCCGTATGTACTAATGACACACACTATTTTGTTTTTAAGTAACTGACACCTTACAGAAACAGGGGACCCCACGCATGACAAAAAACCTGTGCGCTATTTTGAACGGGCTTGTCAAAACAATTCTACCACTTTCTGCAATAATTTGGTAATATTCGCGGTGATAAATGGTATCAATGTTGTAGGTAAATTACTACCTTAGTGAATGCAATAGAGAAGTACTAAAACAACGATTTATTCTAACGTCGCTTCATCAATTTATGATTAGAAATTCTGCGGCATTTAACAGAAAAGAAATGCAATGATGACTTGTAAATAATAAAAGGTTACATTTCCACACTTACAGATACTACTTTTGATATATACCACAAAAAGAATTCTATAGCTCACTAGCTATAAATGGTACGAAAGGAATTCCATCTTGTCCTTCGTATCAATCTTAGTTCCGATTGTGTCCTTGTGCAATAACGTTATGTTATGATACACATGTACTTGATTTGCTCTCAGCGGTTTCATTTCGCGAATTTGTTCTTTTTTGCAGAAAAGTCATGTGAGATTCGCAAAGAATGCGCTTCGAAACATTTTAGCAGATGACTTCGACACTAAATCAGACAGAGAAGCTATCAAAGATATTGAGAATGTATTGAAAAATTGTAGAAAGCAGAAAGTTCCAGAAGATGACGAAGAGTTTGAATCTGGAAAAATTAGGCTGGAGTATCTGCGTTTTAAAATTGGTAAGCTGCTTGATGGCTGAAATTTCATTGTTTACAAAACGATGATTTTTTAGCAATATTTGAACCTATCTATTTATTGATTAATTATTCCCTTTTGATTGATCCTACTAATTATACTCAATCTTTTGATTGGTATATCCGAAAGTACTTCTTATTATATTTTAAATTCGTACTTAACGCTTCCTAGTAGGGCACCAACATACTCTACCTTCCCGGATTTGACAGACAACATGACAAGTTCATCATGTAAATAAGTTTTAAAAACTCATACTAATCTGGAGCATGTGCTTTTTCCTCTCGTGTTTTAAGATGGTTATGATGTCTACCTTTCTATTATAATAATGACAATACTTTTAATATTCATTATTCTCAGACATACATGACGCCAAACTCAGAGAGAATTGGCACGTGACAGAGAAAACCGTCCGTCGGCTGCAACAATCGCGGTTTGCCCACACGTTCAGAAAGAAAATCAAGGAGCTGGAACAGGAAAGAGAACGACTCGCACTTCAACGAAAGGAATCTGAATAAAAGTTGTGATAGGAATGCCCTGACTTTTCCTCCCCAGTATACTATAGGCCATTATGTAGAGTAAACAATGACTAATAGCTGGTTCAGTATTAAACAAAAAACCTAGGTTGGAAAGATGATATCATTAATGGAGCAAAACAAATAAAACATGTTGTTCGAAGAGTAAAATCAAAATATCAAAACATTGATTACTGAAACCAATATTGATTACCCTGTAAATCTATGGAGACGTTTTCTTGAACGCAGTCTAAAGTACATTTTTGCATCTTTAAATATAACTTTGGCGACAAGTGATAAGCGTTTGAAAAAAACCCGGCAAAACAGATTAATGAATAGTTCACTGCGATCGTAGGTAATCTCATTCAATGATGTTATTGTTAATTGCCTCTTTCCAGATTATATATGTAATAAACTAAATGAAAGCATCAACTTTGATATGCCAAATGAATGCCACTGATATTAAAAGGTGGCTTGAGCATAAACTATTATTTTTCTTTTGTTTTCCCTCTTTTTTCACAGGTTGCATTCATAGTAGATGTGAACTAAAAGATTATTGGCACAGCAATTGTACACATATCATAAGATTGAACTATGTATTGCACTCCATGCAAATATATATTAAACAGTGTAAAACATTTCAAAGACATGTTATTTCCAATAATGTATCACTTTTATATGCCGGAATAGTACTGGCATAAAGCTAATAATATGTACAAAGTTGAATGTAGACTGATGATAGTCTGTATAGGGTTAAATGAAGACAGTTAATATTCTGTACAAAGTTGAATATAGACTGTTAATATTCTGTACAGAGTTGAATGTAGACTGCTAATATTCTGTAAAAAGTTAAATGTAGACTGTTAATATTCTGTACAAAGTTGAATGTAGACTGTTAATATTCTGTACAGAGTTGAATGTAGACTGTTAATATTCTGTACAGAATTGAATATATACTGCTAATAGTCTGCACGGCGTTGAATGTGCACTGTTAATATTCTGTACAAAATTGAATGTAGACTGTTAATATTCTGTACAGAGTTAAATGCATACTGTTAATATTCTGTACAGAGTTGAATGTACACTGCTAATAGTCTGTAAGGAGTCATTCTCGATATCCAGGGGTTACGCACACTTTCGCTCTAGAGAGCGTAGGTGATCGTAACCCCTGGAAATCGAGGATGGCAAGGAGTTGAATGTAGACTGTTAATATTATGTACAGAGATAAATGTAGACTACTATTAGTCTGAATAGAGTTAAATGTAGACTGTTAATATTATGTACAGAGATAAATGTAGACTGTTTATATTCTGTACAGAGTTGGATGTAGACTACTAATAGTCTGAACAGAGTTAAATGTAGACTGTTAATAGTCTGAACAGAGTTAAATGTAGACTGTTAATACATTGTACAGAATTGAATATGGACTGCTAATAGTCTATACAGAGTTAAGTGTAAGCTGTTTGTAGTCTGTTCTGGGCTAACTTGTACCTCAAGACTAGGAATGTTGTACGTTTAGACCACAGACAAGTTTGTTGTGCACCTGTTCCAGGAGGTGCTGGCCAATCGTGTGTGCATATGTACCCTTAATAAATCTACAGGTATGGCAATTCAGTACCTATCTGTTATCAAGCTGTAATCCACTTAGGTTTTAAAGCAATTGTTTTAACTCTTGGAAATTTTAATCTAAACGTATCTTCTATTTACCAATATATTAAACAAAGCTTTATTGAAAAGATGTAAGAAGTTTTATTTAAAGCTATTTTTTTTTAATTACTGGAAAAGTGCGCAAATAATACAATTTAGACTAATTGCATTATGTATATTTATATATCTTTTTAAACGGTGTTAATTTGAATTTCAAACCATATTGTGATATAACTTTTAAATGTTTAGTCCTATTCTTAAATTCACACTAACAATTCAATAATTTAATCCCTCCCCACCTTTTTATGTTATATTTTGTGAAATTTTATTATTAATTTTGTTGATTAATAGTTTCAAAGTGTTTCATTTTTCATGGTTTGAAAGTCTGTCTTCTTCATGTTACTGACGGGGTTTCATTTAAGAATCACTGTTTTGCAATAGAAAGCTTTGGAAAGGCACATTAGAATACAGGCTAGATATTTGATTCGATCCAATGTTCTTTTTCCAATCTTCATTTATTTTGTAAAAAAATAAAGCAGTCTGGTATCCATACCCAGGACTAAATGCAGACAAATAACATCATAGAAATAAAAATCTGCTCAATCAAATTCAACATTTAGTTTAAATTAGTGAATGTATCGTGTGTGTTTGTTCCAGCAGAATCGAGCAGTCAAAAATGTTCCATGGAGAATCAGCTGTACATGTATCTCACGTTATAATTATGTCGTCATAATAGTGATGACGTCAACACATGGGACATGGCATTTACAGCGGTCTACATGAATGATATAAAAACTTGGTAGGATTTTATATTGTCAGTGCTTTAGCGTGGTAAATAGTTCATAATAATTATTCCACGTGGTCTTTGCAGAGAATTTATCAAGTTTAAATCCCTGCCAAAACAGGAGAGAAATCTAACTTAGTGTTTTAGTACAAACATGTCCTACTCTTATCACTGTTTAAATGTAGCTTTAGCGGCGCTGGCACATACGCGCCTGTTAGATTGACAATTTTTTGTTTTGAGTTCTAGGGTTAGAATTCCCGGTCTAGTCCCGTTGTGCTTTTACTCAGAACACAGATCACATGTTTACTTATTATTTTTCCATGGTTAATATTTTTTATGAAGGAAATAAGTCCGTTACTTCTTGACACATAATATTTAGTTTTATTTCTTGAAAATGTGTTTAAAGCACTTTCAAAAAAAAATCAAAAAAAAATCACGCAATAATGATGACAGAAGTATTAATTTTTCAAGTCATATTTCAAATTAACATATTCCACTCACATAAGAAACACGTTGTTTCATTTGTTGCAAATAACAATAAATCAACCTTATAAACAGGTATCAGAACTTCATTAATTCCGTAAAGGTCATTTGAAAGTTCTGTAAAATAATGTTTTATTTTCAGTAATGATTTATTAAAGATATAGTTGTATCAATTATCAAAGTTTACAGAAATTAATTACATGTATAATATAACTTATTATTATTAGAATATTTCTATTCATATTCTATCTCTGTGTTTACTTTCAACTGTAATCATGAATTTTTATTCTTGAATAAAAATTATTTCTTTTTAAAATAAATCTCATATTGTTTATCCTGCAAACTTACAATGTTATAAAGAGAGTAACGTGACAATGGTAGAATCAGTTTCTAAGGTAGTTAACATAAATACAACTTTAGTGTCGTTAATACATGTAGATATGGGAGCTTGATTGACTGAACCAATTACTTTCCTGTCACATGTTATATTGAAAATATTCATAACACAAAAACATTCCCTAATGGCTTTCAGTATGATCACATGAAAAATATGATAGTGTATTCATCTTTTAGAAAAGGTAGAACTTATATTAAAAATTTCAATAACAACTTTTCCTAGATCAAACGGACCAATTTACTTTCTCTCTATGCACGCCTACCTGATGTATCCACAGCTCTATTTCTCTACAGTGATTGAGTAAATCGTCCATTTAGGAAGCAGGCAGAGATTACGTAAGTGAAAAATAGCATATGTCTTGTATGGTTTCTAAGATTTCGTTAAGGACGTCGACAAAATTAATCAGTTTCTGAACTTAGCAGTATCTTCAACACGTCAATGAGGCTTGTACATGCGATCAGAGGTTCTGCTGAAACTAACAGCACTTAATTGTCATATCAGCAATCTATTGAAAAATGCTGACAAGTCTCCTTACTTGTAATACCGCCTTTGACATTATGAACAACACTCTCAACAACTAAACCTGAAATAAAAGTGAAACCGAGGGGGTATTTGGGGGTGAATAAACGAACCAGTGGTTTTATTGTAGGTAAATCTTACCCTGCAACGATACAAACATACAATACTTTATTACGCATACACATCGCTATCGATATATATATTACAGATACGAGTACAATCTGACAATTAACACTTAGCTGTAAAATACGTACGTTTAACCGGGGATGATATAATAACAAATAAAGAATTGGAAATAGGGCATATGCTATTTCCTTATCTATTAGTTACAATATGGATTACAATTTACCTTTACACATATATTATATTATAAGTGTATGGCCTTTTGGTATTTACTGTTGACGTTACTCATAAATGGTGAAAACTATTCAAGGACGTACACTATGACGGGACATTCAAAAGGATATATACATATCGGGATTATTATGACTTATAATGAAATAATCACCTCTGTGTGGCAGAAAGCTTTACAATATATCCAGCTCATGTATTAGTCTGTACACATATTCAAGTCTGTAAACATAAACGATACAAATAATAAGATATGGAATATAAACACACTCGTTCCGGCCGGTGTAATGGCGGTCACTCAGGTAAACCCAGCGTACGCACACATACATGTTTTATTTAAAATAATATAAAATACCGTACAAATAATATCAGATACTGCTCGCGGGAAATACCGCACGCCGGACAGCAGAAAGGACAAATAGAAAAGATCGACAGGTAAGTTTGTAAATCAAGAAATCGAGTTTATACCTCACTTATATTCTTGTCCGTTGTCGTTGTCGTCGCTCTCTCGTCTACCTAGTCCTACAAAGGTATTGCGCGCCAACACAATAGCCAATCAGATATATACTGACGACACACTACTGACCTCTATACCGGACATATTATTATGCAACAATTATTATACAACATTAAACTATGGAAAGTTTTAAAACAGGTGGCAAACAATTGTACCATATCAATGTATCTTAAGTGTAGAGTTACGATAAATTTATGATCGTCGATAACTATATATAAGCGATCAGTGACGTTATTGTTAGGAAGACCATATATCATTACAAGTTCAGTGATGACACCGATCACATCTCAGCCAACATTAATGTCTTAGTGAAATTTTCCTTATGTTCTAAACTACAATATAAGTAGCGTTGGTGGTCCTTGAATAGGTTATAATGTTCATAAATTTCTAAAAGAATAAGCAATAGATTTTTGGACTGGAATGTATTTTAAAGTACTCTTGACCTTTTAACCCATGTCTCTGAAATTTTAAGTAACTATGCATACAAGTCAAAACTCCACAATGCATTTTGAAGTACATTGTAAAAAGTGATAAAAAAATGACTGTCATATTTTAGATTCATTTGGAAGTGCACTGGAAAGTGTGAAGTCATGTTCAGACGCAGTGACTTTGTCAATTGAACAACGAAGTGAATATGAAGAGTTTGGCTCTCTTATGTGACCGCGTCTATCAAAGTTTGAAAACGTAAGGGCCAAAAGATTTATGATCCAGGCTGCAGACAGATTTAGAGACAATCACACGATGCGGAAGGCCACTGGCAAACCCTGAAAACATTGCGTGATAAACTGATTATTATGTATATACTACTACATGTACCTTATATAATTGTTCATTCATAAACAGTCAACTTAATAGCATATGTTGTAACTGACTTCTAAGCTTAATTATCATAGAGATCATCGGCCTTTGACAAGCGTAAACAAATAGCAGATTTGCGCGGAGGAATACCATACACCTTATAACTATGTAGAAAGATATTTTTAAAACAAAAGTATTGCCGTTGGCTTCTTCATATCCATATTTACGCTTAGAATGGTATAGTTATTCACAAAAATGTATTTTTTTCATTATTTCATAATATACTTATGACGGACTATTTTTTTGTGCGGAACACCTTTGTGTGTATACTATTTCCGGTTTAGGACGTCAGCAAGTGCGAACAGACGTCCTTGTTGGTAATCTGACTAATGTTTCGAGCACAACCCAAACATCTTATATTTCGAGCAAAGCCCAAACATCAGCTATCAAGGAAACATGAAACATTTCCCTCTCATTTTGATGCTGTATTAGTGTATTTAAAGTTTGATAAAAATGCTATTATTTTCACCACTGAAGAAAGGACTCATTTTTCAATTATATGTAACTCCCTTCATGTCGGATTTCAATAACATGAAAGTGAATTGCTCTAAAATCAGGAATCAATGTTGCATTTTAATCCCGTACAAAAATGTTTTACACATTTAAATAACTGATGTGTTTTCCTTGTAAATTTAAATCCTATGGACCAAATATACTTTCCTATGACACGAATTCCGTAAAGTTCGGTGTTATAATACTAGATCATATGTAGAGGACAACAAAGTTGACCATGTCTTTATCACGTGTAATTTGTCCATCTTTTGAAGAACTTCCAGATGTTTCCAAGCGTCTTCAGCACCAAGCTTTGTGTACTCGTTGTCAGGTTGAAGTTTGTATTCGTGTTCCCCAAGAACTCCGTACTGACAAAGGGCAACCAGAATACACACAAAGAGAACGTCCAATTCGGCACAGTTGAGCAGTCTGTGTTTAAGATACCCTCCAAGAAAATGACCAGCTATTTCGATAGGGTCCATCGACTTCACGTCTACAATGGCGTCTCTTATTACCATGGATACCTCAAACACGTATTTAGAAAAGGTGACGTCACCAAAGTCGATTATTCCAAACGTGTTTTTGACACGATCAGAATCTGTTTCTTTTGCCGGCTGGTGTATTGGACGGATCTTTCCATTCTCTACATGGATAATGATGTTCATATCGTGAATGTCACCGTGTATTATCCCTGTGCAAAAGTAATATTCATAACGTGAGTCATACAGTCTCTATGTGTTTAAAATGTTACAGATGTTTACTTCAAATTAAACTTCGGATTAGATATATCATGAGTTAAAACAAGAGGCACATGGGCCTTAACGGTCACCTGAGTCCTACAGTATTTATTTTTGTTGTTGAAATATGTACCAATTTGAGTAAAACAAAATTTAAGTATAATGTTCACTTAACTTTGTCAGGACCATGAGCTGATCATTCCTAGACCGATTTTCAGTGAAATCGGCTTATTAGAACTTGTTTTTAAGTTTGAAATAGGTATTTACAAAATAGCGGCCACGGCAGCCAAATTGTATTTCTGGTTGACCCGAAAAATAACAACACTTTGTCAGGACCATGATTCGATCATTCCTACAAAGTTTCAGTTCAATCAGCCAAGTAGAACTTAACTTTAAGTTTGAAATAGTTTTTCAAAATGGCGGCCACGGCGGCCATATTGGATTTCTGATTGACCCGAAAAATAACAACACTTTGTCAAGACCATGAGCTGATAATTCCTCCCAACTTTCAGTTCAATCGGCCCAGCAGAACTTGACTTTAAGTTTGAAATAGTTTTTCAAAATGGCGGCCGTGGCGGCCATGTTGGATTTCTGATTGACCTTAAAAATAACAACACTTTGTCAGGACCATGAGTAGATCATTCCTACCAACTTTCAGTTCAATCAGCCCAGCAGAACTTGACTTTAAGTTTGAAATAGTTTTTCAAAATGGCGGCCATGGCGGCCATATTGGATTTCTGATTGACCTGAAAAATAACAACACTTTGTCAGGACCATGAGGCGATCATTCCCACCAACTTTCAGTTCAATCGGCCCAGCAGAACTTGACTTTAAGTTTGGAATAGTTTTTCAAAATGGCGGCCGTGGCAGCCATATTGGATTTCTGATCGACCCGAAAAATAACAAAACTTTGTCAGGACCATGAGGCGATCATTCCTACCAACTTTCAGTTCAATCGGCCCAGCAGAACTTGACTTTAAGTTTGAAACAGTTTTTCAAAATGGCGGCCGTGGCGGCCATATTGGATTTCTGATCGACCCGAAAAATAACAACACTTTGTCAGGGCCATGAGGCGATCATTCCAACCAACTTTCAGTTCAATCGGCCCAGCAGCACTTGACTTTAAATTTGAAATGTAAAATGTTAACGGACGACGGACGACGACGGACGACGACGGACGAAAATGGATAGCAATAGGTCACTTGAGCTAACGCTCAGGTGACCTAAAAATTACATTAAAGGAGATCCTTGGTGAGTTCCCATTTGATAATTCCCTGTTTTTAACTCACATTCAATATTCTTACTTCTTTTAAGCCAAATAAATCGTTCAAAATTATCGTTCAAAATTAGTTTCATAATACCTAATGAAATAGGTTTTAAATTCTTTTCATCGTGCATAAGTTTGACCTGAGGTGTTGTTATCAGAAGAAAAGTTGTTGATCGGAACAATTTACACTTTACACGTGCTAGTTTCAGTGTAAATATGATGCGTTGTAACTGTAGATCCAAAGACGTTTATCGTACAGTATACGTTATATAAACCCAGGAACGTATTTACTTCTTTGTTAACAATTCAATGGACATCGAATCTTACATTTTAGAAAAACAAATAATTTTAGGACAACAATCGTTGTTTTCATTCCTTTTCTGTATAAAAACTTCATTTTCCAAAAAGCAATCAAACAAATCAATAGTCATCTTAAATAGAGTAAGACTACATAGAACACAAATTAGCATATTCTTTGGACTGACGAAAGCAAACTGAGGATCGTCACTGCTCAAATCGAAGGAATAAAATCAAAAGCAAATACAACACTTGTAAAAACAAAGAGAAAAGCATATTCATATTGCACTATTGAATTGGACGCATTTTCAGAGTAGGATGAAATATACCTGGGCCAGTATTCATGAAACCGTTCTCATGCTCAAGCATGGATTTTGTGCTCAAGCCTTATTTCTTGTTCCGTTTATAAATTATAAAATAAAACGTTATTTTGTAAATGATTTGGGGAAAAAGAGAGATTTAAGCCAAATAGACTGTTTTCAATGTTTACATTTGACTTTTTTATCGTTTGACATGACTTAAGTGAGTTACAAGAAAGATGGTTTGAACAGAAAATCCATGCTTGAGTAGTCTTATGAATAAGGGCCCAGGTCTATTATTCAAGAAAAAAATAGAAATTAGGTAGCTTGAACTGAGAAATGATGACGCCGACCTCCCAACCATTGCAATAATCTGCACGATACACGTACAATGTGTAAAGTTCGGCAGACAAAGAGCCCAATAGCTTGCTCTCTGTCTGCAATCACTACTGTACCTATACATTTTCCAATTTTGCGAAAGATAAAATTATAGCTCATCGTCATTATGTTTTATAATCTTTCTGAATAACTTATTTTCTAAACATTCTCTTCGGGTTGGTAAGTATGGAATATGAGAAGTTCTTTTTACACAACCAACCAAAACTTTCTGAATAACGATTATTGATAAGGATACGGACCGGTCTCATTTGTATTTGATGCCGGAACTTCACAAACCACGTCGAGTGTCTATGGTCCATATTTGGCCAACTCTGCTCGTTTCCATTATAAAAACCGTCTTATACCATTCTTAGTACCACTAAGGCAGGGCTACTGTCGTATTGTGACAGTTTATACTCTGTCGGAATCAATAGAATGTGAATCATGTGGAACTCAAAAGACGCCCAGCTGAAGATGAAATCGTGAGAAAGATGTTCCCGGCTGGCAATATCTTGGTCGCTTAGGGTTACAAGATTATCCATCAGGCTGTGGTCATTCCTACGTGAACAAAATTTGCCTCTCTCCTGATATGTTTTAAACATGATACGTACCTGAAGATAGACTATCTGATTTGCATAGCACCTCCTCCTGGAATCGTTTGAGTATATCTGATAGCGTTTGCCTCTTTTTCACATCCTGTGTTAATTTAAAACAAAGTAAAACGGAATAACAGAATTCCTAAGAGATAGTAAGACAATTGACAATCAAAACATGTGCCCCATTCAAACATTACAGTGATGCAATGAACGGCATAAACAGCTGGTAAAACATGTGTTTCTGAAGTAATCCCGATATCAATTAGACAATAAAATATTTCATTATTCAATACATGTTGTATAGAAACACATTGTAACGATAATTGGCATGCTATACGCATATCACCATTGACATTCCAAAAAAAAAATCTGTTCATCATCTTTTTTTTTCTTTTTTTTCTTGTTCAATGTGATGCCAATACCTGAACACTACATTGTAACATATTCACGTCAATAGCCTCTTTGATAAAAAAAAAAGCCCATTGAAAATTTGATAAAATCATCAACAGAATAACGTTATGTTGGAACAGAAATAGAAAACGAAAGAGCATATATAGAGGTTTGATATTTGAAGGAAACACACCATTTTCATATCAAGATAAAAATCGCAAATATCATTTGCTTATAGCAATTAAATACAACCTCTACAAAAAAGAATGTTACCTTCATTGTCAGGCGTAAAAGCCGCTTCATTAATTATAAAAGACATCTTGATAATTTGTTAAAAGTTACAGGTGAAATGTGTATTTACTGTTACCCCATTTATAAAACTAGTCATATAAATGACATTACTTGTATTTCGTCCAGAAAGTCTTTGAGACAGAGAAAGTTGTCCATTCTCCAAGGATTTAGTGTATCTACGTCTACCTGGACATCACCGGACTGGGTCAGCCTCTACAATACAATTATTATGTAAAGAGTACTAGGACCGGATAATATTTACACGATAAAGCACGTTTACGATGCATTCGTGTCCTCATTACAAAGCATGTGGCAGGACATTTACGATGTATTACAGAGCATGTGGCGGGACATTTACTCTGCTGTATGCAGTGTTTACTCTAGAAAAATAGTTATTTCCCCCGATATTATACCTAATGTGTATTTTTCACATGACAAGGGAAAGGTATTTATCAGACAATGTGTTTAAATGAAAAAGTCTGACTAATTAATACCCTCTATACTAAAACGTCGAGCTCTGAGCAGGCCCCGGCGTGACATTTTCTTGTAAGTTGTTAATATTTCTGCGTGTCGCGAGGGATAACACATTTTGCGAACTAAGTATTGTTTTTACCTCAAGTACTAGGTGTAATTTTGAAACAAATTCACCCAGTGTTGTCAGTGTATCACGTGCAGACAGCACTTCCCAGTGGTCCATAAGAGTATCGCCGGGTACATAGGTCAGCATCCGCACGCGCATTGGGCCTGCAAGTTTGTAATGGATATTTCAGCTTAATACATTATTGTAATGGTTGTGGCTATCTTACAGGAGAGAGGCGTCTCCCCGAACATAATGCAATTTTTAATATTTATATTAATTTGCTATATCTTTGACAACGTCAACTTTAAATTTGTTTTCTGGTAACTCTAGAACGTAAGTGAGTGTAACCCCTAGAATTTCGTTGACGTTGTTTTGTGGAGTCTTCCTATTATTAATCAAACCATGTCAACATTGATATCAATTATTTAAAATTGTGTAAATAATAAGTTACTGTTGTAATATTATGGGCAAATACAACTTAAGCACAACCCACGATTCTCCGTTCATGAATAACTAAAGTAAGTAAATTGAATATTTTAAGGAACTGCCAATAAAAATTATACCGTCTTAGAAATAAAGCAAAAAATGTTTCATGAGAAATCATATATATTTTTGTATATGTGTATTGTTCATTCTCCTGTGACCAATGTGGCTTTTTGTACATATGCAAATATCCTGTTTATTATATGTTTACACTGATAAGTCGCAAGACTTAAAATTAATAAAGAACTAGAACTAGAACAATATATTATTCTACATAATAAAAGGTAAAACAGTAGATGCATATTTATAATTGCATTGCTATTATCGAAACGGTTACCGAATAGAACGCGCCGCAAAAGCTCATTATCACCTACCATTACCACGGTCGTACCATTCGAACCAACTTCCCGATTTAGTTTTTACATATTTAGGACATATAAAGTGTTCACAAGACAGAAAATTCATAATTAATCTCTGCTTTTCTAACTTGGAATCATCTTGTTTGTCTCTCGATCCTGAAATTTTTATCACGTATTGCCCCGAGGTCTTCTGTTGAGCATCCGGTACAGTTTGCTTGTCCTCGTGGATGGGCGGGGACGGTTCACAGGAAACAAGGAAATTTCTGTCCTCAAAACCGGGAAGTTCCTTCAAGTCTGTTACTGTCAGTCCGTATATTTCTTTTGCCAGATGGACCACGTCCACTGGTGTCACATCTGCTCTGGCCGACATACAATGTATGTGTATATAACGACAACAAGGGAATCGCTTATTTAAAAAGAGATGAGCAACATACACAGTGCGGCAAAGATATAGGCGTGTTCGTATAGAAATACGCCGCACATGAACTGATCGAAATAATCATTATAAATAGTTTGACTCATAATAAATCATATAAATGTATAATACGCATATACCGAACCGACTTTTTAAAAAGAATCGTTCTAAATAGCGAATTTAGCCTCGGAAGAATAAGGCATCATACTCATATATAATTTATATTATATACATGTCTTCATACATACTGAATGTCATTTTGACTTTTTATGTTTTTGGCGAATAAGAAAAAGTTAAAAGGAATAGTCTGTTATTTATGACTAAATGGAGCTAAAAAGTAAATGTATTCGCTCAAGTGCCTGTAGCACGTGAGCATATTGCCGTGTGTTGCAGCGTCAGTTGTCTGTCAGAACACCATCAACTTTTTTCTATCACAACTGAGAGGCTTAGGGTAATGGCAAAGTACCATATGTCTGGATAATGGGCTCAAAGTTTGTTATAATGAATAACATTGACTTCATTTTTTTAAGTTCACAATGGTGTTTAATGTGTCAAAACTTTTAACTATAAGTTCGATCTTCAGTTAAAAAACAAAAGGAATTTTAAAGATCATGATATTTAGCCTGTAAGTTTAAGTTTAAACATATTTTATTGTACAAATTTACAAATGGATCGGACAACAAGTTATTACAACTTAAGTTATTACAACTTAATAGAGTCCTCTCCTCAATACATATTGTAAAAATAGTGTATATGTTTTTTTTGGGAAAGGGAAAAAGATAGGTTGGGGAAGGAAATGTGGGGTGGGAGGGGGTGGGGTGATGGAGGGGAGGGGTACGGGTGTTACCTCTATAGAAAAGTAAACGTGTAAACTGAGAAATCGATCCGCATTTGAATAAATTATAAATTACAGATTTCATGACATGCATCCTGGTAGAGTAATTTCAAAATGAACAGAATCAATGTAACAAATAAATCAGGCAAAATAATGAAATTACAATTTTATAAACACATATAACAACTTACACATAAATAAAAGTAGTTCTAAATTAAAATCAACATGCACGGCATTCAAATTTTGGAGCAGGGTATGTCTTTCGTTGTTAAAAAGTAAGCACTCACAAAAAAAGTGAAAGGCATTTTCACAGGGATGGCCACAATAACAAACTGGACTATCAATCAGATTTACTCTAAAAATATCATATTTAAGTGGACTACACTAATGTCTAAGTTTAGTATGCAAAATGTTCAATTTACGTTCACCGAAACCTAAGTATATTGGTGGAGGAGATTGTACATGTGAAGTTAACGAGTTTTTAAAAGAATGTAATGAGGTCAATGATCGTACTGAAAGGTCCAACGAATTCCAACCGCAAAGAGTTGAATGTAAAAAAGATGAATTTGTTAGAGAAAGCCTGAAAGGACGAATTCTATAATCATCATTGTTTTTAAGGGTATAACGGTTATTTTCTGGAACGGAAGATGGCGATAGAGAATTTAAATAGTCTGGAGTTAGTTTGTTACGCATTTTATACCAAAGTTCGCGTTTTCTGCGTTTTCTTTATTTAGCCTGTAATATGTTGGGATGATAAGATATCACATTTGGTCATAAATGAATGACCTCCACCCACTCTCAAGGTGACAGGAATGACTAATGCTATCATGATATCCAATTTGTTCAAATTAATGACATTGACCAACGTTCAAGGCTTCGAATAATTCAAAACATTTAAAAAAATTTTTTTGACTTACTTACATATTTGGCCAGTAGTTTGCTGGGGAAAAGCTAGAAGCATCAAACAAAATTACCTTCATCTCTTTCAAGATCACAGGGGTGAATTGTGTTAAAACATTTAAACAACTTTTGTTTAATTTTACCGACAGACATCCTTTTGAGTAACAATGTTTGGCCAGAAGCGTACTGGGATGAAGGGCTACCAAGTCTGTTCAAATGACTGACCAAGACCCATTTTAAAGTCACAAAATTCTAAATACCCTTACAAAAATACTGAGTCTCTGGCACACTATTGCTGCCATAAAGCATGTTCAGATTTCGTATGCAAATTATGTTTCTGGCGATATAGCCAGAATGTTCTGGCGTACTTGTGGCGATATAGCCGGAATGTTCTAGTGCACTTGCAGCGATAAATCCAGAATGTTCCGGTACACTTGGCTCGATATATCCAGAATGTTCTGTGGTGCACTTGCGGGAATATAGCCAGAATGTTCTGGCGCACTTGCGGCGATATAGCCAGAATGTTTTGGGGTACACTTGCGGGAATATAGCCAGAATGTTCTGGCGCACTTGCGGCGATATAGCCAGAATGCTCTCGTGCACTTTCCTCGATATAGCCAAAATGTTCTGGTGCACTTGCGGCGATATTGCCACAGGCTAGGGTTCTGGTGATATCGTGACTTCCCCACTCTGCATGTCTTGGCAAGCAAGATTGGGATTCCCACAATCAGAAATATATATGACAATATTTCAACAGGGTTGTGGAATATATATATGTATGTAGTTTGGATAATAGTTCATAGCTTACATTGATCAGAGATTGGTTACAAAATTCAACACACATATAGGCCTATATAGATTATTGCATAATGTGATATATTCGTTATTAGTAGTTATCAATAATGTTAATATAATGTTTTATTATGAACAATTTCATTAGAAACAGTTCTGTATAGTTCTAAGCAACATGAACTTCTGTAAAAATATTCCAGCAATTAAGACCTAAAACAAGATTTTGATATGATTTACTACACCGCTAAATACTTGCAGTAGAATTGTACACGTGTGTATGACAGAATTTAAACTTTATATTGAAAATGCACTAGCTAGGCTACAGTAAGATTTTCCATGTTTTACCACCATGAATTATCAAAAACTTAGAAGAAAAACATATTCTATATTACTTAAGACTCAAGAATGCTGTCACTTTGTCACTTTATCGGTGGAGGGGTAGGGTAGGTAGCTGGTTTACTCTCCTATCATGTGATGTTTAGTTTTTATTAATATGCATTAATATATCAAGTGGCATGACAATACATAAGTATATATACTCCATGAATTATTACTTTAACATTTTTATATAGACACACTGGTTTGTTAGGTTAATAGATGGATGATGGAATTCACTGATGGAAACTGTTTCATGCTTTAATCATGTGTTACCTGCATACAAAAAAAATAAAAAATGATTAGATGGAGGTGCAACTGCCTCTAAGATTATTGCCATAGGTGTCAACCTAAGAAACCTCCAATGAGGGAGATTTCCCTCATTCCCTCATTCTAATGAGGGAGAAAGTGCCTGAAACCCGACTTCAACTGCTTTGCTCAATTTATCTCTCCCTTCCTATGCATCAAAATAACTCAAAAAAGCATTAATTTGATTCAGACACACCTGTTATGATCCTTACACACACCCTGCAGTAACTAGGAGATCAATTGACCACAGGATGTAGATTTTTAGTTTGTGTGAGTTTGGACTTGAATGAGGGAGGTTTAAGGGAAATTGGTAAATTTTGGTCAAAAAGAGGGTGTCTCTCATAATGAGGGAGAGTTGACAGCTATGTTATTGCATTACATTGTTGTTGGTTTTTTTAATATAAATCCTATACAGCACATCATATTATACACACCATGACTGACATTTACTGACACAAAACAACAGATAGTAAAGAACAATGAGAAACATGTCTTTCATTAGTAGGAATTATTTTTTGGCTACTTTATGCAAAAAATGTTATGAAAGTATTTGTCAGAAATGTCCAAGAAATTTTAAAAGCCAAACTTACAAACAAATCTTGTCAGAAAAATAACAATTAACTAGTTATGATTATTTTTTTACTAAAATTACAAGATCGTTTTTCATAAATTCTTCTCCTCTGTGAAAGGAAGAAAAAAAGACAAAAGGTACCAGTAATTCCACTTGGGCAGATGTCAGTCTAGACTGGCCCCCATCTCTAGAATATTGAATCATTTGGGAAAAAAATAAACTCTAATAATTTTGATCACTTGAATGTGATTAAGTTTTGTAATTAAACATTTGGCATTACAACATCAAAAGCATGTGGACAATCTTTTTGTTTTTGTATTTTGTATTTACCATGTGTAAGGATAAACAAGAGTAAAATCTTCAATACAGTAATTATTTTATTATCCATTGATTATCACCTAATTGGCACATTCAGTATAATGAATTGTGCAATTACATAGCATATTATCCATTGATTATCACATAATTGGTACATTTAGTTAAGGAATAATGCAATTACATAACAAAAACTAAGTATAAAAAAACGAGGTTATCAGAAAAAGTCAAAAGGGGATTAAAGTCCTCCATTGTTATGTTCCTATATATGTAGTAATATCTGGATTTCAATATATTACCAAATGCACATTGTAGGTATATAGAAATATACACATTGACCAATAAACTTATACACATACAAATATCTTGTACGATGGCAGAGAACATATGCAATAGATTCAATGCAATGCATAAAGAAATAGGTTTAAGTTGGGAAAAACCTTAAGCTTTCCCTAAGGTAACTTAGCGGACTCTTATGAAGCATAATTTAATTGTTTGTGAAATTATACAAATAAGCCATTAGCTAGCCGAATTTCAAAGAAATAACAAAACTATAATATCCAAAAAAAATGGCCAATGAGAGTTGATACACATGCCTATAATCTCATTCGATTTACAGATGTAACTGAATGAATTGAATAAAACAGACATTCATTCCAACTTGGACATTCTATAAAACCATAAATCAAATCTGGTGAAATTTAAATTCATAGATACCTGTAGAAAAAACATGTATATTGGCTTAAAAACAATAATAAAACAGAAGTGAAGAAGTACAAAGTGTACGTTTGACCTCATTAAAATACAAATATCCCAGTCACCTTCTGACTGAGGCTAGGCAATGGGCATTACCATATTTGGTGAAATTCAAAACATTATAAAGCAGTTGCTATAGCTCCATTAATGTTCTTAATATTTTGCTCATCTTCAAATCCAGTCATACACATCGATCCTAAACATTCCAGCGATTATGCTCTATTATGTTCTCTGTAACCCTGAAATAAATCGTGAAGAAATAGAAGGATATGCATGTGCCGTATTGTGGATGATACAAGAAAATAAGTTTGATCTATTGATGTCCATCAAAAGAATCTCACAGCAGTGTAATGGTAAAACTGTCTGGCTTTGAAGTAGAGTGTCGCTCCTCTAGCTGTAATCTTTAAGGGACAGGTGTCAGCCTCGCAATTGGTCAGATTTTTCTTCCATGACACATTCTAGGGGTGCAGAGAACGTAAATGAACATAACCCCTGGAATTTCAAGGATTGCTTGTACATAATAGAGTGTGTCAACAAACCTTGACTAAAATCCCTAGCTTTGCAGGGAATCGCCTGGTTTTAAAATCTAAACTTTCATAGACTTAACATAGAGTAATTCTTCTTAAGATGTATGAGAAATATCAACAAGCACTACATGCATGAAATGTAGAATATATTGCACTAAATCATAAAATATCATAATTATACAAGCACCGAACAAACATATAAAAAATTCATCATTTTTTAAAAAAAATATGTTCTAAAAATAGAGTTAGGCACTCTAAGAAAATTATCAGCTACATTTTAATATATGTCTCTGTTTCTGAATGGTAAATTTTATGATTTCTGAGACTTAAAAAAATTACATGACAAAGCATAATGCATGTTGGACCATCAACAAGCACACATAACTTGGGAATATCTGGAGCTCATACTGACCAATTAAATTTGTGACACAGGTACACTTGAACTTAAGTAATTCAGAAAATCTTTTAGTTCTACATAGCCATGTTCAATTCCTGACCAGCTCTAGATCTGTTGGTTTTATTTAAATGCATTGTGTCTTTATTAGTATACAGTATGTTATAACATTCCTTAAGTCTTAACTAAACATGCAATGTCCTAATGTACATGTACATTGTCCTATGACATAAAATACTTAACATGCAAAATCAGAAGACTCCTTTTTGTGAGTTGATGTTCCTTGGATTTGCTGCCTTTAAAAGGCAAGACAATATCAATATTTTGTGAGAAAAATATTAATTTGCCTGCCAGTTTCCATGCTTGGCCAGACATTATTAAATCGTGATTGCCTGCCAATTGTCTTCGTTGTGACATCACATTTATGACTATATCATATGACAGATTTCAGAAAAAAAAATATGTCAACAAGACTACTGGATATTTTTATGTACCGGGAAGCACACATAAGAATGAGAAAAACAAATGTCATTCACACACTTATGCTTCAAGGCATTTGTTCAAATAACAGTGAGGAACTGTACTTCTGAAGATTTACACATAAATGACGTGTCCTATTTACTGTTCCCTTTTTGGTAATTAACCCTTTCACTCCTAGGTAACTTGAGTAGACTCTACCATACATTTATCTGGATGAGTCCATTATGGTCCATAGTGGTGAAAGGGTTATAAGAATGAAATGTTGGGTATGTGGTGTCTCTGCTCTTCCAGAGTATGGGCCAATTGGTCAGCATGGTACCTGACCATAATGCCTTGTAACCTGTGCACGTGGTCTGCATTGGACTGGTCTCAGCCTCCTACACTTCATTTGACCGTTTTGAAAAATTGTTTCATTGAAGGTTGAGATTTAGAAGAACGTCCATCTACAGGGGGCTCAGCCTTCCTCTTCACACCTAAATGATAAGTCCATACAATTAAAGCATAATTGAAGGCTCAGCATATTTTTACCAAATTACAACTTCTGTATACACATCTAAGTAAATTAATAATTACAAAACAAAGAAAAGTATTCATTTGATCAAGTGTGGTTCATGATTGACACTATATACCTAAAAAAATAATTATAAGATCGTGTTCACAGATCTGACACAAAATGTCGCTGATAAAGAAGGAATACATTTTGTACGATTAAGATATCAATAATGATTATTAGTACTAAGATTCGTCCATAAGATATGAAATCAGGGCCCAAAGCCTTTTCTCCCAGTATTTAAACAGCAGAGAATAATTTTGAAATTCTCCACGGCTATGTGTCTGACAGTAATTGTTCACAGCAACTGACACAGCCTGTGTCTTGCTATTTAAATAAGCACCCTTTCAACCAATTTACCAAGCACCCTGTGCACTAAGTAGAGTTATTGTTTTTTCATGTTATTCCCAACAAGCGATTGGCCAGAAGTTCATCACATGTCCACCAATAAAAATTGATATTGACTATGAGCGCGTCGTTTTTGTTAAAGGACTGGGTGTTTCTAAACATGAAATAAATAATAACGAGCCTCCAAACGAACGCACAGTCCCGCTTCCGTAGCTTTTTTGTTGTGTTTTTTTTTATTCAGATTGCTTACATTGCTGTTTTGAAAATAATAAAACAATTATAGCCTTTGGCTGAGGTCGATACCTGGATTTTTCGACCCGAGAAAAGATATATTGACCTACCTCAGTCAAAGGCTATAATTGAATATGAATACACTGTGTGTCGCTAACTATCTACGATATAGAGAACAAGACTTTTATCGTGGTAAATAAAAAAAATATTACTCTTGGAAATCAGGTTGTCTCTTAATCAAATTTTACAGATTAAAATTTTGATATTAAGTCATATCTTAATTTAATTTTACAGATTAAAATCCAGGGATTTTGTAAACAATGTTTTTTAAAAGTAGGTCACATGATGGTTTGACTACCCAAAAGGTGCTCACAAATACATGTACATACCTTTTTTACTTTGTACTTCTTCAAAATACTTAGCAGTCATAACCGGAAATTTTTCTTTGAAGCAGTTTGTTTCTGATGTAACTGTATAGAATTCAACACTTGATTCTTTGTCTTCATCTGATCAAAGGAAACAATTGGAAATCATCAACTTCAGTACAATTGTCAAAATTAAAATAAGAAGAGCTGTTAATGATTTCAGTCGCTTACATTTGACATGTATCCACATATATATGAAGTTTGATAAATATCGAGTTTCTAGTTTTATAAATTATGAAGCCAAAGGCTTTTATATCAATGTGCATTACAATTGTATCAATATGTGAAAGGCAATTAAAAACTACCTATTGTATCCACTTTGTTATACACAAGAACATATATATATATATGTCATTTCTCTCCAATCACACACCTTCTGTAGATTATTTATATAATTAGCTGATGAAGTTCACAATTTCACATCCCCCTACCACTTCACTAAACAAGTCAGAGGATGATATGCTCAAAACAAACACCCTACCTCATCTTCAATGTTATAGACTCATCCATACCTGGTTTAAATTTAAACCGTACCACTGTTGCATATATACATACTTTTACACTGATCTGAATGCTGGAGAATGACGGAGCATACTTTTAACATGTTGTCAACTTTTCGTACACAAAGTCTGAAAAGGATCCTAGGAATCTTTTTGTACCATATCAAACCAGGACCTCCTCAACAGATGTCTCCAAGAGGACACGACCACCATATGTTGAAAAATGCGTTGGAAATCGCTTGGCCATTTACTGAGAAAATACTACATATTACAAAGACTGACATTTCTGGATGCCAAAGGGAAGAAGCAGGAGAGATAAACACAAGATAATATGGACGTGCACAAAAGAGTTTGGGATTTAAGAATGTCAGAAAAATAGGGTACCATACAAAGACAAGCGGACAACAAGCAGGAGTGGAGACACCACCTTGCTGCCCTACATGCCAAAAGTATAACAGGCAGTTAGTAAGTCCATGTACCTGGTTTGAATTATTTTTCATCAGTCACAAACCACAATAGCCTTGACCTTTCATACATACTACAGGTAATCTCTTATCCAGGTAGGCAGTGCTTTAAATAGACAAAGACCTAATATCTGCTAGTAGAGTATGGAAAGGTTTCCTGAAGGATGATTCGCTATAAAAAGTGGTTGGATTTAATATGTGAACATTTGAATAACTGTACAATGACTTAGGCATGTAGCGGGAGAGTGTATTGATCAAAGCTAGACTTGCCTAGTTTAGACCAGCGAACTTCCAGCTGATCTCCTGCCATTTTCTTGTGGGTCTTCATTATTCTGTAAAGAAATGATAACATATACCTGATTCACAAGACCATTGCAGAAAGTACATTGTAGGTCTACACAAGGAATATCACAATTTACACATTGTAGATATACACAAGGAATATCACAATTTACACATTATAGATATACACAAGGTTACCGCGAGCGGTATATAATACGCCCGTCACACATTGAATGAGCAGTTGTTTGTATGATTGAAATATATGAAGTATTTGTGAGTAATTGATATTAAAAGAGAAATCATTCAACATAACTGGTAGATCAATGAGTGCAATACAACATCATGGAACGCATGCATCGCATTAATGAAACCAAGGG